TCGTTTTACCGTACACCACAATTTCGAAGTGGAGCGACAGTTTGCCGGGCTTGCCTTCGGGCCTTCTTTGTTTATATAGAAAATTTTCCGATAGTGTTAGAATAGAATTTCAAATTCATGTGCAATAACTTATCTAATTTTAATATTTAACCTTTGTGAGAAAAAATTTCAAAATTAACTATATCATAGTACAATACATTAATTGACACTGTTGTTTTTATTGACCCTGTGTTTTAAATATGATTCTAACACGGCCCGCGTTTTTCACTATTGAATATAGAAAAACCGAAAGTGTGTGTTATTATGCAATAAATTCTATATTTAGATATGTAGGATATATTATTTTTTAATTAGCATACAAACACAAAACTTGATATTTCATCAATATTGAATAAGAATGTACTGTAATGAGGAAGTTCCCGTCGCTACAGAAAAACATACCAAAATGTGTGCGTACAGTTAGTTTATCATACCAATTTTTAGGCGTACAGTAAGAAAACTGGAAACATTGTATTTATTTTCGGATAAATATGGAAAACTACTCTTGTATACCGTTTTGTTATCAAAAATAAACATGTTGGAACTTAAACTAATCGAATATCTCGTTTTAAAACCACTGATACTGTATTCGTTTGCATGTGCATATCAGGTTGACGGTTGAATTTGCAGCAACAAATACCCTAATAACTTCCTCAATACTTAAGAATTTAGTATTTTAATTTTGACGATCATGCACAAATGCACAACACTATTTTTCAAGAAATTACAATATACAACAATTATTTGAAAAAAATATGTTCATACCCATATGCTTTCATTTTCACTTTCTTCGGCCATTATTCCGTATCGAATGATTTCACCTCGCTTAAAGGAGTATTGCACCGCTAAACGTTCGACCCCCTGCAGATACTGTATCTATATCAATAACTATGACGTCATTTTCGGCACATTATTTCGAAGACAAATATTGCTCGATCCGAAAAGTAAAATAGCCGTAAGTATTTTATTTCTGTAGATATGCACCAGCTAGTCTACTGTGAAAAATATATACTTGCCACAAAATATTTGATCTTCTTCGTTTTATCAAACACCTTTTTGTAAAGGATTGGACTTCAGTTGCAAAAAAGCATAATCTGATCTACGCCATGATTAAAAATTCAGGTTTAGGGAGTACGGAAACCCAAATATGTTATATTATTAATGGCGAAAATCTTACCTTTTTTCAGTTGTCAATTCTGGCACCAGTTCCAAGTCGTAAAAAAAGTCGTAAAATTTGGACTACATTAACAGTTTGCAGAAGTGGTTGCAAATGCGAAGCTACATGCCTTTTGTTCTTTTCCTATAATTATGTTAGCCATGAAAAAACATTTTTATTTATAATAAAATGTACATGGACATTGGTACTGAAATAAAATACTTAAATGATATTTTTATGCTGTCTCCGGAGATTCACATAGTTACTAGAACAAATTCGCCCTTCTTGTTTCTGTCGCAAACTCCGATATAATTTTAAGGTTGTATACATGAAAATCTTTGCATCTCACAACGATCGGTTGTGCACAAAAATGAGCGTACTACATTTCATAATGATTTACAACCTTATTGAATAATAAAAAACGCTACAACGTGCCGTGATTTAGCGCAAGAAACACATTGGCAGTAACAAAAGATATCATAAGAACTCTAGGACAGCTTCAGAGTTATCACCAGAACTCCGGGACATTTGAAAAATCTGGTATAAATTTGTGTTGGGGCTTTGTTTGCAATTTTGCATTATTATTAGGTTATTATGTATGGCAAGGATGAAAACCAGAAATAAACAGGTCAATACGTGCGAATTGGCAAATAATTTGGAAATTTTACCCAGAACTACCAGATTTTAAGTAAGAGGCGATTAAAAATGGACTTTGAATTAGATTTTGACACATTAATCAAGATGTAAGGCAAGCTTAATCATTAAAGTTTAAATTAGCACCTAAAACATGAAATTACCCCTTTTGATGAGTGTTTTTGTAGTAAATACAAAAGTTTTCCGACGAACTCCGTGACAGTTATCACAAGAACTCCTTTACAATTTATCATAAGAATTCCATCCTTCGTGTAACAGTTTCTCCCCCGTGTCAGTTAGCCGTAAAAAACAGTAATAAGCGGTATAACGATGCAGTATTAATGAGGCTATGAGCGACTTGTATTGGAAATGTTCTTATTGCTCGTTTGCTTAGCAAGGTAAACTAAACTCTGAGTTCCAATATCGATTACTTCTTAGGTAAACAAGCCAAAACAAATCAATATTCAAAACTTTCAATCGCCAATATCTAGATAAACAAGTACAAATGTTGCTGCAATGTGCAGCAATTAAGAAGCTTCGCGCAAAAAATGCACTTATTACAGATACCTTACCAAATCATTCCTACGCACAGGTCATTTTCTATTTAGATTAAGTACTATTGTACATTATTACGGATGTTTTGTAAATCATATAAATTTGCATAATTATACTTATCGTATGCAATGTCCATGAGAGAGGGGCCAGATATTAAATAAAAAAATGCTTTCACTGAAGGAAAGTAATTCCAATGCAAACAAGACTTACAAGACTTGTAATGTGGCATGCCAGTAGTGCAACATTGTTCTGTTTGTGTCACTACTGTAGTCAGTAATATAAGATAAAGCATGTGCATTTTCTTTTTCACCTATAATGCTTCTCATTTTCTACAAATATCAACAACTAATCATGGTAAAAAATATCCATATGTAAATAAGCCAAAACAAAAACTTTCATCGACTTTATTTTCCAAATGTCCTTTACATGTTTAGCAGCAAATGAAACAAGAAAAGCAGTGATGCAAAGCATCAAAGCAAGAAATGCAGCAAGTGAAGATCAACTAGTAGACGTCTATGGAAGGGTATTAACGCAAAAATTACATCTTGCTTTTTTACGTTACATCTTGCATTCTGGCTTGTACATCTTGCATTTTGACTTGTACACCTTGCATTCTGACTTTTACATGTTGCTTTCTTACAGGCACATTATGCTTTCTGCTGTGTGCGTCTTGCTTAGTTATCATGAGAAAATATAAGATTTTGTGACTTAAAAATAAAAATGCCACATCTCATCGGATAGTGTGGTTATTTTCAGTCAAAATTCGCGTGAAGTAAAGCTTGCACAGGGCCAGAAATTTGTTAGTATGCTCCTTTGGATGTTGACTATGAAGCCATAACATTGATTAACTCGAACACAGTTGGGATAATTATGAATACTTACCGTCCGTCAATTGTGTTTCGTGCGCCGACATGTATATACTGGTACAGCTGTCGACGTTTGAACTGCTGTCTGCCCATTTGATTGTACGGTGTGTTCTAGATAACTTTCAAAACAGAATTCTACAAAAAGATTTTTATTTATCAGTTTTTTCAAACAAAATGGCGGAAGAAGTCCCTTAAAATAAATATGAGTTTTGACTCTGCCCACTTTCACATTTATATTTCATATTTATTTTTAACAAATATGAAATATATTGAACTGATAGCACTATATTTCACGGGTTAACTTAAATAATAAGAAGGAAATTTTTTTTCCCCTTGATGAAATAGGGAAAATCAAAAATATTTTCACGAAACTATAAAATGTCACATTTTTTAAACGAAAAAATGATAAAATAACTTTTTTTTAAAAATTTTAAAATTGTAAGGAACCCCCTTGCTTGCAAACGAACTGAAATTGCAAAGGCGCTTTTTTCCGCGCTTTTTGTAAAAAACCTTTAAAGGCCCCTGTACCCCTTTAAATTTGCTGAATTAAGGGATTTTGGGGTTTTCAGATTTATCTTTGACTGATATAGGGTAAAATTAAATAATTATTGATATTCATTGGAATATTACCTTAAAGAAATATAGGTAATAAATAAAATGTTGCAATTAGCAATTACAAAAACGCTCGCCTAAAAATGAAGAAAACAGTTTATTACATGCTTTTCGGTGGTTTATAGAAATATATCAATGATATAAAACTGGTAAATTCACTGTTTTAAACAGTGAAATTATCAATTTGATAATTTCACTGTTTTAAATTTAAGCCCCTTACGTTGTTTCAGTGAAATACCAGCGTGCACAGTACTGGGAACCAACTTAATGACGTGACGTCGTAAATGACGTCATGATTAGTATTAGGTTTGTTGTCTTTTTAAAACGTTTTTTTTTTGCGTATAATAAAAAGAAAATTTGTTTAGTTTAGTGTAAGATCGAAATATATTTCACCTTGTGAACACCAAAAGTTCATATTTCACTCGTGGTTGCGCCACTCGGGAAATACACCTTTTGGTGCACACTCGGTGAAATGTATTCCGATTTTACACTAAAATAAAAAAATTCAAAGACACGGGAAAATTGTATATTTAAATTTTAAGGGTACCCTAATGCCCAAAATTTAAATGACCTCCAAATTAAAGATTAAAAATTTAAAAAAAATTTTAAATACATCTTTACATGTGTCTGTATTTTTTTAAAAATTTCGATAGGGGGTTCATAAAAAAAAAGGTGATAAATTTAATTTAAATTAAATGTTTGGGTTTTAAAATTAATATTTTTTAAATTCATAAACAATAAAGGGTTTAAGGGTGTATTTAGGGGGAAAAAAATTTTATTTGTCGTGTGGGTTTAAATGCTGAGATCAGTGGACTCGTTGAATAAATAATATTTTGCTCGCCAAAGGCTCACATAACATTCAACTCGTTCAATTAATTTAGTATTGAATTCAATATCCTCTATTTAAAATGACTTGTGTATATTTTATACAGAAATTAAATTACAAATTTTAAATTTAATCTTATCATTATAAAATATTATTAAATATAATCACGCAAAATGAAATAATTTGATGAAATAATTTTTTTAAAATTGTTGTACTGTTTAATGGAAAAGAACTATAGAAATATTTTTCCCAATTCGCTATTTGCTCAAGTTACACATGTATAAGATAATTATAGCTTACTTACTATTTTCAGGACTTCTGTCAGCGAGAGAAATTTAATCTATATACGCACAGTAAAAATTCGGATAGCAAATAGGAAATTTCAGGGCAAACAACACAGTATTCTCAATTGATTAAAAGCTAAGGAAATTACATTCGCATCGGATGGACGTCCAAGCTTTAAAATGGATCCTGACAGCGAATCATTAAAGTTTGTTAAATTGGGAAAACCTGTGTATAGTAAATCTAGTCAGGAAATGAAAGTTAGCGATTTTGACTCCTTAAATAACCTTATTTTTCTTGAAAGCGACACGGATTCATTATTGTATGAAGAAAGAATAGGTTTGAAAGAAGAATATCCCGATGATTCTGAAAGTGTATTGACAAAAACATCGACAGATATTTTGTGTCAGTGTCTTGACACTAATGGAAACTCTATAAACACAAAAGTTATGTTCAAAGTTGAATTAGACAGGCATCGGTCGTTTGTGAGAAAAGGAATGCGTGACGGGTCCATGGAATCGGAAGAAAATCATAAAATGAACAGCAAAAAAGCAATATGGCGGAGTTTTATTTCACTGTGCATTGGTTTAATGTTTGCTTTTATATCTTTTATGCCATTAAGAAACATCCAAACAAGCTTGTATCCAATGAATAAGTTAGGCAACAGTTCATTAGCGTGCATGTATTTTTCCTTTGCGATTGGTTGTCTATTTTCGACATATATCACACAGAATGTTCGCCCAAAAGGAATCATTTTAACCGCCTTGTTCGGTCACGTTCTGTACTGTGCTGCCAATGTGTACCCATCCATGTATACTCTTATTCCAGGAGCATGCTTTTTTGGATTCTTCCATGCTCCTCTTTGGACGGCGCAAGAGATAATACTAGCTAGTTATGGAGCAAGTTATTCTGCCATTGCTAAAATAAACATGGACAAAGCAATTCAACAGTTCCAAGGTGTTTTTCTGGTGTTTTGTCATGCTGCACAGGTTTTTGGAAATCTCTTAGAGTCTGCCATCTTGCACTGCGGAGATTATAATAATAGACCTTTTAATGATTCAATGCGAACTTCGGAGGTATTAGACGGGCAAATTAAAATTGACAATATTACAGAAAGAGAGAACAACGCTAAACAAATGGTTTGGATAGGACCTTTCGGATATCAGATCCACGCAGAAGTCAATTTTCCAGGGGACAAAACAAATTACGAAAATGTCATAAAATTCGTTTTCATCTCATTTGCAGTAATTGGCATGACCGTGATATGTTTGTTTCTTAATAAACCTGACATTATCATCAATAAGAAGAAAACATTGTTCTGTGACCGAATGAAAGAGCTTGCTCGATTTATACCGACGGGCACCTTCCTATCATTGTTCCTTCTTATGTTGTTCAGCGGGATGCAGCAAGCTGTTGTCATCGGCAATGTTACCAAGGTAAAACTATATTATAATAAAGTTATTTGTGTAGACATGCTAGTTTCCCGTTTCACGAATTATATAACAAATAATGTGATAATCTTATACTTAGTGATTAAAAAAATAAGTTTTAGGACAAAACTATAATATACATGTAATAAAGGCGAGAGAAAAGCGCAAACAAAATAAATGATTTAGTTAAACAGAATTAAGAAATACCTATATTTCAAACACTTGATGAACCACAGAGCCAAAGGTACCACATATGAATTAGAATTTATGATAAGAACAAAACATTATAGGCGTAAAGTTCTCAAATATGAAACATCGAGATGATAAAAAATGAATTAATAAAAACATAAAACATGGCAAATGTCTCGATACCAGGTTTTCAATTATCATCATTGTTGAAATTTTTGTTCTAGTTGGAATAAAAATACAAGCAACGTACAATGTAAGTATATGAAGAAACAAAAGAAACAAGCAAGCATTTTGTAATTCCAACAGATTGAAAACTTAATAATGTATTGACCTTGAACCTAGGTGGGGACCCTAAAGTTATCGCAAGCGAGGTCTTCACGTAAACTTGCTATACTAAGTTTTTTATATCTCACTCCTCACTCTACTTCTCAACCTGAAACCAATTTTCTATTTTTTGTTCGCAGTGACTTTAACCTTAATTCTAAATATCTCATTTCCCAAATTTAGTTATTGAGCTATTTTCTTTCTTTTTTTAAACAATGACATTGAAATATCCAAACTTTGTTATTGATCGCGTACTGATTTTCTATTTCCAGTGACCTTTGCTTTGTAACACCGCACTTTGGGGTCAAACGCAATTTGGGGTCGGACCCCAAAGTGCGTTACGAAGTTTTGGGTCCGATCCTTAAGTGCGTTACGCAATTACAAAGTGCGTTACACAGGTACATACGCAATTTCTAACATAAGACAAACGACCGCACTTTGGGGTCATAAAATCTAACCAATACAAATGAATTTTAGTAATATTTTAAAGTAATATGTTCTTGTTAATGCCAAGGGTTAACTTAAAATAAGGAATGAAGTACTTGGCGAAATATATAAAGAGGATAACAATAAAAGATGATCCCTCTGCTTATTTTCCAATTTGCAATTAATTATATTTTATTTTTATTTCATTATGTGTGTCATAGAGTGATGGCCTTAATGTAAGATACATGTACGAGTATATACAAGTAAAATGGTTTCCTGCGGGGAACATTTTTAATGATATTAAGATATTTCATTTAACTATTTCAACATTTTTTTAATTTTTTTTTTTTGGGGGGGGGGGGATAAATAATCGTTTGTATCAGGAATATAGATCAATATAGGAGAAGGTCTTCGGAAACTGGTGACCGTTGATGACCGGAGAAGGTCGAACATAAAACAATTATTTCTTTTTTAAGAAAATGATTAAATAGGCTTACCATTTTATGAATAATTCCGAGCAAAATAAATAAATAAAAAAAATAAAGTAAACACACAAGTTTACGCAGAAAATATCTCTATTTATTATGGCAGATGCCACTACGAATATTTTTATTTTGTAGATTTTCAGTATAAACAATTTATTGTTTGTAAAATTTTGGAGACATAATAAAGAAACATAGATAATTTTCAAACACATCAGTCAAGTTTTTCCACCTTAAACGGTAACATAATTATAGAAAATTAGAAATAACGTAATAGTTTTTTTGTTCTTAATTATGGACACGGCCTACTGAATTCTCGACCCATATATCCTATAGTAAATCCATCACATTTAAGGCTAAATTCTGGACAAAACAAATCCGGTACCGAAACTTCATGACCATTTCTTTAAACACCAATGCAGTCCAAGTAAATTTAGCACAAAAAAATAATACATTAGCCCTTGGAGTTTTTCTGCAGCTTTTAATTTCTGTAATCACTATAGAATATTCCAAATAGTAACTGGTGTGTATTCTTGTGCAAAGTGCCTCATGAAACCTTCCACCCAGAAATGAAATCCTGCAAAAATACATAAAAAACAACCTTTAAAGTACTCAGAAATGAAACTTCATGTACATAATAACTAAAGATATACTTAAAATATAACCAGTATCAATTAAGATGATATGAAATAGGCCATTTCAAAATTTAAAAGAACTACTTTCTAGAGCCGGGGGTGACACCTTATGTGTAATTCTGACTAATTCCCTAGAGGATTATCCGTAACGTACCGGCAAACGGTATTTAGCCAGGTTATCGAAAAGGTCAATTAACCAATCATGTACGGTTTACAGATCACATGCTCCTCCATGTACCGAAAACAGGTCACGTGCTCCTCCATGCGCGTACCAATACCCTGCGGTCTCCAGACCGCAGGGAATAAATATGTTTGATGTGAGTACAATAAATAACATTTACAGCTGTATACAGCTTACACCGAAAGCAGCTTACCTTTAGCTGCATACGTCAAGATGCTGCATATTATCGTATATATACTACTAGCTCATTTTGTTACATGACTAAACTTATGATCGTCCGAACAACTTCGACCACGACAATGACAAAGACCACGTCTATATTTTTGCGACTTTTAATTCGGCTCCTATCACTACGACTTCGATCACTACGACTTCGATCACTACGACATCGATCACGACCACGACTACGTCTTCTACACCATTAATGACTACGAGTTCAGCTATGACTACGATAACGACTACAACTTATACGACTACCTACGACTTTTACGAATTCGCAAACTGCGACCATTTCTTCGACTACGAATGATATAACTACAAGTACGACTCTGACCCTGAGGATACAGACGACTTCAACGAAGAAACGACTTTGACGTATACGACTTCAGCAACGACCACGAATTCAAAGGATAAGTCGGCAACTTAACTGCAACCATGACTGTGACTAACTACTACGACTATTACGATTACGACTTTAAAGACTTTGCCAAGATTTACGACAACGACTTGTCGATTGCTTATGCTACAGCCAAGACTTCGATCATTACTTTCACAAAGACTTGTCGTTTAATACTACGACGATGACGGCGGCCACAAGTATTCTAGACATATACGATAACCAATACAGCTTCAACTTACAGGGCGACTACAGGTACAAAGACTTAAATTATTATGACTGCATCGACGACTGCGATTCAGCGACATCGAATATGACTGCTACACATTTGTATCTAATTTTGAAATTACAACTTTGACTAGTACTTCTACGAATATTGATCGACATCATCTGCGACCAAGATTACTACCATAATACCCCAAGAGGAGCGCTTGCCTAGTGGTTTATTATAAGGTGTCTGCCCCTCAACCCAGGGATCATGTGTTCGAGCCCTTCTCAAGTCACGATCATTTTTTTCTCACCAGGAAGTGGACTAGAAAGTGATTTATAAGTTGCAAAAACTCGTTTCATAATCGAGCTAAATAAATATGTTTAAACTAACTAACAAAAATAGATCTTCGTAAGCTGTATACGTTTTCAACTAGGATTCTTTCAACTAACGTTTACAGCTCACGCGTCATAAGATGTTAACGGTGAATATTAAGATGAAATTCACGTGTATTTATGACAGGAATTATTTTCAAACATACATAAAAGCTAATTTTCTGAAATACGAAATTATCTTTTTTATATGGCGGTCATTTATAAAAATGCAGCGTTTTTGGTCGTATATAAAAACAGATCACTTTTCACTCCCGGGAACCTTCCCCCGGATATTGCTCGGATATTTGGGATTTCATCCCTTTTCGCTCTTTGAAGGGGGAACAAAGAAAGTTAGCACGTTTTTTTCCAAACATGGTTTTTCATTTACTAAGTTTTATATATCTGGGGTTTTTTTGTTATCAAAAAGACATAAAAGTATCCCAATTGAAAAATTGATTAAACCCAAAAGATGGGTGCTCATAGAAAAAAACTGAACGCTACTGTAAAATGTTAAGATTTTGTATTACCAAGATAAAAAAAAATTGAATCGAGATTTTTTTCTTTCTAATCCAAATTTTGTAAGTCAAATTTCAGGAAAACATGTAAAATTTCAAAAATACGCCAAAAAGATCCGAGTTTGATTTTAAGTGTACATGTATTGCAAAATACCCCTTTAGTTCAGGTATTGCAAAACAGAATGAGCAAATTAGAATGGAAAATCGATATTTTTATCTAATTTAACGTCTGTTTATTTTGCTGATAATGTACTGTTTATGATATTTATTCAAATATTTTAGATTCAACAATGCATATTCATTGTTATTACTGTTTTTTTCTACGGACATACAGAGATTAAATTCCCGATTTGATAGACAATCACACTATGGATGAAATATAGTTTAAGCGTGTTAATGAAGATTGCGTTTAAGTGCGTGCTTATAGTCGGGAGCAGGGTCAGGAGAAGGGTAGATCCATCAAAATTGACGATAAAAATATTTAAATACATGTCTAAAGAAACTGTGATCAGGGATACCCATCTCTAAAAAGAAAAAAAAATATTTAGATGACATTTATTATAGGTTTTTACAGGGCAAGTGTAACTTAAGAAACATGTCGACACACTTAGTAAAATATTGGCCCGAGGGCTAATGCCGGTATCGCTTTAACCTTTTACTGCATGTGCATATTGCACCACTGTCTATATGTATGAAGCCAGACGGACTGACAGACGGACGGTTCGATTTTAATATGCCACCCATTCGGGGGCATAATAAACATCTAAGTTCAAAGGGGGAATAATTCTGGAAATATTCATGCTAGAGTTATGAATATTGTCACACATAATTATATTTTAAGTTAGAAGTAGATACCTTAAGAAATAAAGAAGTAAGTAAAAAGTCACATTTTTTAGGATGAAAATGAGTTCATGGGGAAATACTCTTGAAAAATATTGGTGCTAAAGTGAACAACATTGTCACATATGATGTAGTTGTTGGTAAGGAACACATATTTAAAATTTTAAGTCAATCCCTTATGATGAAATGAAGACGTAGAGTAAAAAATAACATTAT